CTACCACTTTGAATATGAGTTTCGCCAAATTGATTTCGAGCGAAATAATTTGCTCCTTTACTGATTAAGTATTTCACAATATCTAGATTGCTGTTATAACAAGCAGCATGTAGAGCTGTGGATCCAAATTTTGGATCGGGATTATACGAAAGATGGGTCTGGCTGTTTTCCTCATTCATTAAAGTAAAATCCATTTCAGTTTCATTAGGAGCATTGACAGAGCAATTGAATGTTTCAATTAGGTATTCAACTAAACGAATAGTATCGCTCTTGGCAGCGGAATACAAAAGAGTTGTGCCCCAGAAGCCAGGTTTATCCTTATAAAATGGATATTTCTTGAGAAAGACTTCTACTGTCTTGGAATCACCTTTCAATGCAGCTGGATAGGCTTCTACAGCTGATAATAGCCCATTGAGATCTTGTTTAAATGAATAAAGAATATTAGTGGAGAGTCCTTCGGTAAAAACGTGTTTGTCAGGATCGAAGTGATACTGATGCAAATGCTTTTGTATATGATGTAAACATAATTCCGATAATTGTGATAAGGAATCTCTTAAAATATTTTGAATCTTGTTAGTCAATGTGTTCAATAATTCGATTTCATCATTATCGATTGAAAATGTATTGACATTGTTGTTCTGGATTGAATTGTCGAGCAATGGGTCTTGAACAACCGTGTCGGCTGGTGCTGCCAGGTCACGTTTTTGTCGCAATTCTTCCAAAACCTCATCGATTTTCTGGTTGATTGAAGTTAGACATTGGTGTAGTCTTGTCGCATCATAAGATTCCATCGTACTCAGAAATGAGTTTTTCTTGGTGTTTATGCAATGATGACGATACTCATGAGATTTTATTTTTTTGTTGATTGACGAGTCAACTCGCTGAAAGAATAACAAAATTTTTTTTCTGTAGTGAAAACAAGATTGTTTTTGAAAAAGAACAAAATTTCTGACATCTGTCACATTGGTTTTTTCCTATAATAAAACAAAAGTCTGAATAGACCCATGACGACATATACGATTCGTTATGTGGTGCTTTTATTTTTATCTGCTGATAAAAAGTTCCACAAGTATCTAAACTTGAGTTAGAATTTAGAATGTGTATCATCGAAATGTTTTCGTCATCAATACTAGATCTTCATACATTACCAGTTGAACTTGTCTATCGTATTCTTGATCAACTTGATGTTTTAACTATTTTTTTGGTCGTTACAGTGCTTTTGTCAGCGATTTAACACAATTCTTGATATATACGAGCGATACAAAGTATATTCATATTTCTTTCTAAAGAACAGTTTTCAGGCGGCAGAGCTAATATTGCAATGATTGACGAACCTTGTCTACGTTCAATCAGGCTTTACTCTTTTTTCTTATTTAAGTATACTCGACAAGATATGGATGAAATAGGACGGTGATGGTTGTGGTGCAATATCTCCTTCGAAGTTTGCAATTGATGACTTAGTAAGAGCGTTACGATACAATACGGTAAGATTAGCTGAGTTACTTTGCTTAACAGCGTTCAATAGGAGAAAATCCGAATATTCGTGTAGACGCTCCTTAAATTGAAAGTCGGTCGGGAAGGAATTTTTTATTTAATAAATGCATTGAAATCGAATTCAGTAAAAATGTCTTTCTAGAACGTTTGATTTCTTCGAAATTTTTATACTCATTAAGGCATTATAGTTGACTTAAGAATCACTGATTATAATACGAACGATCGTATGGATAGTGAAGTATTAGGTTATTTAATCGATGCTTTTGAATACAATTCAGTACGTCTATTTTTTTCTTGTCAATTTCGTAGTAATCATACTGTTCATATCAGGCACTGATGAATCTACTTGTCTACCACTGGCACAGCAAAGACATCGCCAAACAATTGCAGCAATTGGCTCTCCCTCGACATGGAAAACTAGTAGAAGAAAATGTTCTTTTTCGGTTAAGGTTTTATCTATTATCTTGTTCTATTGATTATAGACAGCGATTCAACTGGATCTATCCAACATATGTTTATGTGGCAAAGAGATACAAAGTTTTGCTAATGTATTACGAGAAAATCAAGTCAAATTTGTTTTTTTTTCTTTTCTCGAACCTACATTCGCATTGGTTCTGTTTTGACAGACGTTAACTAATCTGAACATTAGTTCAAATGACCTTAGTATTGAGAATGAATCAAGTAAGAACGACTACTTGTTCATCTCTACTCTACAGATGCATGTGCATAGACACTCACCACATTATACTTGAATTCGAATGGAGTAGACCATACTGGTGCATATTATTTATCGATTGGATTGAGAGAAAATACAGTAATGGAAGTTTGCGTTTATTCTTCGAACTGAATTTTGTGCAAATGATCTTAGACGCTTACAAAGCTTGATCTTCGCCAAAATCGGATTGGTGATGAAGGTGCTCGACATATGGCAGATTCATTACCTGTTCAACACGTTCCATTCAATATGATTCTCGTCAGAAACTCATGGATTTAAACCTTTGTAACAATTCCATTATTCATCAAAGCCATAATTGCTTAATCTATGCTCTTCAAGATAATCAAATGAATACTGTTCTTGTTTAATTTTCAGTGATGTACACAGGTTCGACTTATTCATATGTAGATATTGATGAGATTATGTTTCGATGTCAACCGGCGTGTCTCTCTTGAATTGACGCCACCTCTCATCACTGCAATTCATCAAATAAAGGTATAGTAGATCTTTCGATTAGTGTAGATCTTTTAATTCCGTTTGTAGACGGCTACAGTATTGGATTTGAGTAACAGTCGAATGTCTAATCAACTGATCGAGCTATTTTCTATTGCCATGGAAAAGAATTCGGTAAAAGAAACTGTCCAATCCGTTAGCGTACGAAGTTGAATTTTCTTCGATATTTAACATAGACATTAATCGATCTAAATTTGGCAACAAACGAGATCAGCGATAATGGTATCATGTATCTGACTGATGTATTAAAATCAAACCAAGTGAGAGCAATTTATCTACATGCATAGGTATCACGAATAACTGTAGACACTTCAAATATTAAACCTTGCAAAGAATAGAATATGCGATGAAGGCACGAGATATTTAGCGGATGCATTAAAAATTAATACAGTAAAATCAATCTCGTATATCTCTACACCTGTAGTTTCCTGGAAATAGACACTTCAGGTACTAAATCTGTATCATAATCAGATACATAACGAAGGCGCAAAATATTTCGCTGAAGTTTTAAAAACCAACAAAGTAGGACGAATTTTCTATTTCATTACAGTATACACAGATGTTTCATTAGACATTGATTACATTCAATCTTATATATAACAGTATTGGAGAAAATGGAGAACACGATTTCTTAAATACTTTATTTCACAATACGATAAATAAGATTCTCTATCTGATGTTTTTCTGCATTTTCAGAGATGCATAGACGTTGCAAGAACTATACACCAAACGTGAGAGAAATCTTGTTGAAATCGCAAAATTCCTAATGAATACAATAATTCAAATGAAAGTGAAAGAAATCTTCATTTCACAACTTATACAGAAAATGCAATATTCGATCATAGATATCTTCAAGCATCGATCTTAGCAAATGAACTGCGATCTAATACTGTAGACACACATTTTTATCTTCCAAATAATCGATTTTGTGGAACTCACATATATTTTTTGAAGAAAAATAAGTGAGTGTAAGTTTTATACCCAGGAATCATTGGACCCCCACCCCCCCCCCCCCCCCCCCCCCCCCCCCCCCCCCCCCCCGCGCCCCCCCCCCGCCCCAGTACACCCTCCCCCCGGCGCGGCCCCG